TTTTTTACTGACTGGGAACCGACCAGTCAGTAAAAAAACCAAGCAATCAGTAATACATTGCTCTTTAAGGGAAGACCACAGAAAATAAAATGTTCTCTATGCTATTTTCGGTTCCTTCACTAGATACCCTGCATTCTAAGTGTTGGAGAGAAATATAAATGGTTAGATTTAAGAAGAATACTAAGATTTATTTTGTGTTAAGACTAAGTTTATCCCAGAAGTATTTTCAAACAGAATTCATCTGTGAAGCCGTAATAAATTTCAGTTTTTATCCCTTTGCTGGATTTTGTCAATGCTTTACATGATAAACATGCCAGAATCACATCAGTCATAGCTTTCTTCAACAGCATTTCTGGTTTCCCTCTCCCACCTTAGTAGGTTGAGCTTCTTGCCTGGATGCACAACACCAAGCAGCAGAGGAGGAAGCTGGAAATCTACCAACAACTATCAGATAGTAAGAAGACTTCTCCTCCCTTTGAACCAGTCTGGGAACCACTGAGACAGTTTCTAGAAATCTGGAGGTTAGAGTTAAATGTTTCTAAAAGAAGAAAGTTATATGGAATCTGGTAAATCTTTAACAAGTGACAGTTTTTTGTTTTATACTCCCACTCCTTTATCTGATAGTTTGAGAGAACAAATGATTTGCACGGTAATAGTGAAAGAAGTCTCAAAGAGTCAAGATCCACAGCTTCAGTGAGACTTTAAATCCTTATCCGCTTTATAAAGGCAAAACAGAAGAACCCTTCAGGCAGGAAAAGAGATAGAGGGAAGATAGGCAGCAAACTTCCCTGTCTTTGAATGATGTAAGACAGTCATTAGGAAAAGAAACAAAGAAGATGGAGTGTGAGGTAATAAATAATAGTCAAAGAAGATTAAAGGAGAGCTGGGATCATAATTTGAAAGATTTACTAAATAAAACTGTTCGCTGGAGGGCTCAAAAAATACTGAGGTCAAGGGTCAGTACTTATAGGCAGGCTTGGCAGCGTGCCTCTAGAGAGATGTTTTTAATTCCAGTATTTAATTCTGGAATTAAAAGCATGGATTAGGACAGTTTTGACTGATTTAAAGCACTTTGCAGTTTGCTTTACATTTGATTGGCTTTTCGTATACATCTATTTTGAAGTTATACCCCCTGGAAAAAAACTCTAAAAGCTACCACTGCATTTCAGAAAATAAACTTAATTTTTATGGCATCTTTACAGAAGAACTGAAATTATTCTTATTCACCTGCTCCTGCCTCTTTTTAAGGGACCTGCATCCAGCTATCAGGGCAAGATTATCTTGTTCTTGTTCTCAGGGCCAGTGGAGAGAGGGTTTTTAGCATTCCACAGTGTTTCTGATTTCCACATCCTGACCTGTTCTGCCTCTAATCCACTGAGTGTGCCTGTCCTGTCTGATCTCAGTGGAGAGACGGTTTGTTAGCTTACCATAGTATTACTGAGTTCTGGATCCTGACCTGTTCTGCCTCTCAACCACTGAGCCTGCCTTCTTCCAGTCTGAAAGTTCAGCCTGAGCTGTCTGTGGACTCCTGGAACTCTGAACCACCCTGTTCCTGTTCTGATCTGTTTCCCTGACCTGGCACAGAATTCTGCTTGTCCTCCAGGACTGCAGCTTCAGGGACACTCTGGGCGGCGCCCGTCACATTTAGTTGGCAGCCCTCAGGCTGGATCCTGCCGTGTTCTCTGGGATGAACTGAACTGTTGAACCAGGTTAGTGACTCACATGGATAATAATCCTCGGTCAGATTTTCATGGCTGCTAACTTCTGTTTCTCCCCAACAGAGCTTTAGTGATAGACGGCCTAAATGCTAATACCACGGATCCAAATCCTGCTTGTTTATAAATAAACGCTTTAAATTTTCCTACAGTCTGTCTTGCCTTGAATAATGGGTCCTTCTGTCCTGTGATATGATAATGAGCCCATCAGTGAGGTGATTGGCTGTTTTTTTTTGGTCATTTTCTCTACTAAATACTCATCACAACAGGCCTATTCATAAATTATATTTAGTTGAATAAAAACCCTACAGCACTTTAATGTATATTCAGTAAAAGTTCAATAACCACTCTAAAGCATTTTCTGATGCTCTCACCTTCATGTTAGGAATAAAAGATGTTGGGCGGTAAATCAACCCTGCTGATTTCACAATCCACCTGTCACAGTGGCTGGTGGCCAAAAAAACTTAACTTCAGGCCCTGAGTGCATGTATTCAGAAACCTTGTTCTGTCAACAAAAGAATGTCTTACATGGCAATAGTGATGGTAACATGTCTCATTCCTATAACCACATGCTGCCACATGAGAGAGCTTCCTTTTCCATTTTCCATTTCTGTCATTTTATTTGTAGGGATACATATAAGCAATATGAATAGATATAAGCAAAATGAACAGCAGCAGAAATATAGAACAATTCAAAGGCTTCTGTACCATAGGCATCTAAGCAAAGCAAGCTAATGCATGCATATGCTGCAGAAATGCCTGGAAAGGAGCACATCAGTCAAGAAATGCAATCACCCAAAGCAAATATTGCCTACCTCCAGTGTTTTCACACACAGCTAAACAGTCACTAAAATTACCTTTTGTGGCTGACCAACAGAGCATACACAAACAGCAGCAAACGACCTCCCCGACATGCACACTCCCCAAGGACATTTTCACCATTCATCTGGAAGCTGCTTCTGGATATCATATATCATCCACAGCAAGAATAGAAAAAGAGTACTGAAACACTGTCTTTAAAAGATTGCAAATTATCTCTAGGTTTGAAAACCATTGTGATTCTGAAATAAATATATATGGCATGTAGATTACTACTGTTTGATGATTTGATGGAGTTGGCCCCTAAGCTAGCAGCCTATTTTAGATCTAACTGGAAAAGGCAGGATAACTCGCAGGCAGCTTGTGAGTCCATCAAAAAGGCAGAATAATCAAACGCCTCTCCATTCTCACTTCTACTGTCAATTTAGACCACCAATCATCGATCTCATCCTTCTTTGTTGAACTGTGGGAGAAAATGAACCATCTTCCATTTGAATGTCCCTTGCAAAAATTTAGAATTGAAATTCAAGTAAAAGATGCGCCATGTTCTTATTTCCCAATAAATTACGTAATGGATGTGGCAATAAACTGAAATTCACACAAGAGCCATTTCTTAAATAGTGTTTTAAACTGTATTTCTTTCAACTTATATTATGATGTGATCAGAAAATAGTCCTACAACGAGTCAATCAAGCTGTGTAAATAATGTAAGTAGGATTGTTTGATGTTCATTAAAACAAAATATGTATTTAATGATTCTTTAAAATTTTTATTTTTTACATTTGCTTAAAAATGAATTTTAACATTCTAGGAAATAATATAATATATATTATAATACTCTATACTTCTATTCTATACTACGCAGAGGTGTCTTTCTGTTTAGCTATAAAGTTGCTTATGCAATATATTTGATCAACTTCAAAGGATTTTTTCTTTTACCTTCAAATATTTAGATTGTTAGCATGTAGAATTATCCATACATACAGATCTAACTGGTCACTTTAACAT